AGGCAGCAGCAGTGACAGTCCCATGCGGCCACCCCCGAAATGGGCCCCGTGCCTGGCCCAGACCTTCCTCTCCGGGGACAGCAAGCCCCGGCGTGCAGCCCGAGCACTGCCGGAGAGCCCACACCTGCAAGGTACTGGGCAGGAAAGCTGGCGGGGGGATGCTTGGGGTGATGTTCTGGCCCCAGCTGAGCCTGGGGGAGCCTCGTGGGCTTTGAGGGAGGGAATAGAGAAGGCCATGCTTGGCCATGGTGGTCTTCTCCCCATCGCCGGTCTCTGTTTCTGTCCCCTTTCCTGCTGGTCTCTGCCCGGAGCATCCTCCCGCACTGGGGTGCAGAGCTGGTGCTGTGCAGAGGCCAGGAGGGGCAGGGTTAACCCGGCTTGGCATAGCGAGGGGAAGGAAGGTCCCTTTCCCTTTTGCGTGTGCCCACATCCTGCAGCCGGGAGCTGCTTGGGATGCCCCTGCCTGGCTCCCAGCCGAGGGCATTGCGGCAGCACTGTGCTGGGGAGGTATAACTGGGGAGGGTGGGGAGGGGGCTGTGCTGGGGTGCAGCCCTGGGAGAGGAGCTGGGTGTCCCCCTGGCCAGGCACTGCTGCAGCCTTGCTGTGGGTAAGGGAATTTGGCGACAGCAGCAGCTTCTCACGTGATGCTCACAGGCGCAGAGTTCATCTCACAGCTTGTAACTTTGTTGGTTTATGGATGAGTGACCTCCCCGTGTCTGCAACACCGGGGTGAGTCCCCAGGACCCTGTCGGAATGCGTCCGCTGGCACAGCCGAGGTCAGGATGCCAGCCAGCTGCCCCACATGCATACGTCCGCTCATATAGACGCACGGATGTGTGCTGGGCTCCTTGCAGAGTGCCGCGAGTCCCTTGGCTTGCGATTGACGGTAGTGAGCGGCTGGCAGCGAGCGTGTACAGAAAGGTCAGAGTCTGCAGTATTTGGGAAATGAGTCACTTTTTGTGTGTGCATGAAGTTTTAAGCTAGCCAGGCTTTGAGCAGCTCTGAAGATCTGCATTTGATGGCTGGAACGGGGCTGTAAGACAGCCCTCTGGGTTTTGCGTGTGATACCTTGCCTTAAATCTCACCTTTTCATCCCACCCCAGTGTCTCCAGGGTTGTGAGGGGAGCTTGAGCTCCAGATCTGCACATCTCCCACAAGGGAGAGGGAAGGGGACGCTTGTCCTCACAGGGCTGGATGGGCTCTGCACATTCTGGCAGTCTTACTGTCTCCGTCAGGTTTTTGGGGGTCAATCCTCAGAATAGTGTCATGTAGGTCTTGAGGTTTATTAGTTCGCTTATTTGTTGTGCTTCTCTGTGCCGGGGCAGCTGCCTGAGGACCTTCTTTCTGCATTAGTGCCAGGTCAACTGTCTTTGCTGGTTTTAAGTAAACTTGGGAGTAATAACGTGAGTTCTGGAAGGCAGTTAACCCCCGGCTTTCCTTGCCGTGCTGCCCCAGCCGTGTTGCCTGTGAAGCCAGCAGCTGGAGACAAAGCTTGTGGTTTAGGGGGAGGCTTTTGCAGCAGCCAGAGGAAGGCATTTGTTCTGGGTCCTCATCCGTCTCCGCCAGTGGCTTCCTCTGTGATCCTGGCCAAGTCACTTCAGTGCATGACGCCCATATCCTCCCAAGTCTGTTAGGCAGTCCTGGCCCAGGGCGTTTTCGCCGGTGGCTGAAGTGCGTGGGTAGTCTGAGAAGGGCAGGAGCTGCTTTGGAGGACTGGATTCAGGCTCTTTCCAGGTTCCTGAGCAGAGTGGCAGCAGATGTTTGCGTGTAAGTCATACCTGTTAACAAGGTTCTGGAAATATGGCATTGGTCTTGGATGCTGCACTGTCCGGGAATTCGATCTTGGCAGGGGAAGAGTTATCTCTGAAAGAAGTGGTGAGAAAATTTTCGCTTGACATCCCTTCCCCACCTGCCTTTAAGTTCCTGAGTCATGGAAATGAAAATCTCCTTGGCATACGCCCATGGTTTGGGCTAGAGGGTGTGGAAGAAGCTATGATTGGATTTTCAAAGCCTGTGGTTGTGATAAGAACGTACTGTACCGGAAGAAACAAATGTTAACCTTACTGGAGAGTAGAAGGTTTGTTATCTCTAGCTTTTATCCAACTGATACTCAAGCGAAACACCAGGCTTGTGTCCTGCCCCGGCCAATTCATAATTACCAGCTAATGTGGCGTTTGTTTTCTTGTGCTTTATTTGTAGGTTTGAAAGAAACTTGTGGACTGTGAATTGAGGCATTGGGTATGTAAATTTCAATTTTGTGCTTCCCCTTCTAAACCTCCCCCCTCCCTTCCCTTTACCATGTTGAATGAAATGTTTCATTAGACCCAGCTGGAATTTGTTTTCAGGAGAGCAGCTGCTCTGTAGAAAATACTGTACGTTCATATGCTGCTGGGGAAGGAGGAGGAGTTGGGGTTGTGGGAGGGGGTTGATCATAGAGGAATTTGACCCTGAAGATGCACATTCCAAACTTCAGGCACAGGGAGATGTGAGCTCTTCTAGGGTGCTGGTTGGGAGGACACCTCTGAGATGGGTCAATGGGTGTTGTGTTGGGGGAAGGCTTCATATTCCTCGACTAACCCAAGCCTTGCTCACTGGGACAGACTGGGCTGCGGTGTGGGTAGCAGCCCAGCAGGTTAGATGAGTTCTGCTCCTTGCTGCCACCACCAATTCATTGGGAAACTGTGGACAGGTCTTCTCCACAGCAGCCACCACTTGGGAGCAGGAAAGTAGTTTGCTGGTGGCTGAGGGTTGTGCTCCACTGTAGGATAGATCTTTCCAGATGTTGAAATCCTTCAGCTTCAGTTGGGACCTTCAAGGCTTGTTTTGATTCCCCTGGCTGGATTTGCAGCCAGCCAGCAGATGGATGAGGGGGGTGGCTCCTGAGGAAGATCTGAAGGCTGGGAAGCTATGTTGGGAGCTTCAGGGAGATGAACCTGAGTGGTGGTGGGAGGAGTGGGCTGGGGTGGAGCTGCCATGGGCGAGGCAAGGAGAAAGAAGAGCCGGTTAGCTAATCCTCAGGAGGGTCTGGTTGCCTTCACCTGCCAGCTTGCTGGGTGGGACTGAGACATGCCAGGTCTCGCTGCTGGCCAGGAGACCTCACCGGGCAGCCTGGCAGGCACTTGGTCTGGTGCAGGGCTGTTGGTCTTGGGACCAAGGAGCTGGTGCTGTCCCTACCAGCAGCGGTTGGCCATCTGAGCACGTCCCAGGGCAGCAGCTGTATCTTTGCTGGGTTTAGGGCACTTGCCTGGCTGTTTCTCCATTCCCATCCTCCTCCTGCTTCTGTTTTGAACAGACTCAAGATGGCCTCGCCAGCAGACAGCTGCATCCAGTTCACCCGCCATGCGAGCGATGTTCTCCTCAATCTCAACCGCCTTAGAAGCCGGGATATCCTAACCGATGTCGTCATCATCGTGAACCGGGAGCAGTTCAGAGCCCACAAAACAGTCCTGATGGCCTGCAGGTGAGAGCAGGGTCCCCTTCCTGCCTCCCTTCCCTGCTCCCCCTGCCTTTGACTGCGCGCAGCACTGCTGCAGCCCCGGGGAGGCTCGTGGGGTTTACAGACAGGGAAGCAGAACTGAAAGTGGCTGCCAAAAAATTTGTACCTGCAATGGGATTAGAGCTGAGACCTTTTGCCTCCAGCATGGTGCCCACACCTCTCTCCTCCTTGCATGCCCACACCTCTCTCCTCCTTGCACGCCCATGTCTGCCCACACGCAGCCCATGGAGACAAACAGGAGCACAGCAGACGTGAGGCACATCCCTGATGGCAAAGCACAAACACTCTGCAGGGACAGGAGAGGGGAAGGGAGGGAGGGCTGGATGCTCACTGGGGTGAGCGAGTCCTCGGTGACTGCGGTGGCCCCTG